TTAAAAGCTCAAAGTAAACAGAATCAAATGTTCCCCCCCCCCCCTTTCCCTCCCAAACAAACGATCATGTTTTTGTGTCGGACGATCTATACATGGCGAGACGGTTTAGTTAAAAGAAATAAATGAGTACTGACGTGGTGGTTACTTTCAGAATTATGGTTTGACCTTAAGAAATGCTAATTGCTATGGTGGTGACTGACAGAAGTATGGTTCGGTCGCAAAAAGTGTCTATTACTATGCTCCCGTCATTTTTAAAAAGTACAGTATATGCAGTTTTTACAATTTTACTGGAGAGTAAAAAAAAACAACAACAACATTTTAAAAAAAACAACTGAATGCTGTTACCAAGAAAACGAATTCTTTGCAAACATCCTTGGTCAACATTTTAGAAAATACAATTTTGATAATACTTCCTTATTATCTTCATGTTGCTGTTTTCTTGATAACAACATTCAGGGTTTTTTTTGCTCCCATTTAAAACTGTAACACCAGCTCGTCCGTCAGTTCTGGCGATGACCAATATCCTCAGAGTGGAATATTTCTCTTGCGAAATAGAAGAGTTAGAAGAATTGTAGGTTAACACGACTTGTGTCTTCTGCTGTGGCCGATGAGACCAATTCTGGCAGAGAAACGTTTGCCACATTTTGAACATTTAAAAGCTACACCGCTTCTTTTAAAACTGCAAAAAACTGCCTAATCACTGTACTTTAAAAAAACTGACGGCGATATGGTGGAGACTACTGGACGAAGCTGCCCGTGGGGTCGCCGAACAGGTACTTGGAGAACACGTGGGGCATCAGACTAGTGGAGCGTAACCGTTTGGAACGTGCTGATCCTTTCCCCATTGTGTCTGATGGGCTCAGGATCTGCCACAATTTCTGAAAAAAAGTGAAAAACATTTTGTGGTATCGTGGTCATATCAGACGACTGTACTTTTCTCCTGTCAATGGGTGTCTGTTGTGAACAATATCGACCGTGCTTTTCTCCTTACCATAGGTGGCTGTCTTGAGCAATATCGACCGTACTTTTCTCCTTACATCTTGAGCAATACCGACTGTGATTTTCTCCTGACAATAAGTAGCCGTCTTAAACAATATCGCCCCCCCCCCCCCACTCTGACTGTTGACCGACGAGAACTAATCTTTGGTCAATAGCATCGAACTCGGGTCTCCTGCGAGCGACAGCGAGGCGCCTAACGGCAGCACCACTGACGCCGGTCATTTGGGGAAATAATATCGAAATATTTTAACAGAATTTATTACCAATGCTGAAAATGGTCAAATTACCCTAAATACCACATAATTCTGCCTCTAACACACT